ATTATTATTCATACCCCAAGTCAACAAATCTACAAAAGTATAAAAGCTCATTAAAAAACAACATGTATCTATATTTGGAACACATATTGTAATAAGAAAATTATGTATTTTAAATCAGAAAATATGCCTAAAGACAGAATCACTTTAAGCTGAAGTGATTGGCTGGTTATTTCTCATGCTCTCAAAATGGAATTGTACTCCTTCTGGGTAAGATGTGAAGTGTTTATCCAGTTAAATGACTTTTGAGAAAAACAAATGATGCCACAAGGTCAAGGCATACATAACTGTGCTCTTGTCACAGTATGATGGAGTAATCTTCATGAATAAACAGGCTTCCGTCATACCTCCACACTCAATAGTTTAAATGCTAATGTCCAACTGTACCATATATGACCTCTGTGGGATGCACTGACCCTGCTCTGACAGATGTACAATTGGACAGTATAGCATTAGGGTATACAGTGTGGCAGAGTGGTCAGCTTCCCTGTCTAAATAAGGAAGGTTGCAGCTAGGCCTGTCACGATAACAAATTTTGAAGTTCGATATATTGCTGATAATATTGAAACTAGTTTATTCCAGTGACACAATAACCCAAGAGCAGAATTAAACCACAAAAACAATTATAAAGCTACAATACTGTTAAAAAACATGAGCTGCAATAAATAAATAAATAGCAAAAATAAAACTGTTTAATAAGCTATAAGTCCATTGTCATATATTACAGGCAAAGCAATGACTTCTCCATGGAGACAAGAAGGTGCTGGATCCCTCTCCAGAAAAGTTAGTGGAGCCTTTAACTAGTGTTTGTTATCTTACTCCAACATGTACTGACTGTCCCAAATTTCCCACTTTAGCACCTTAAGCACCAAAACTTCACTTCTATCACAGTCTTAGCTTTCTAGCTTTTTATTCTACAGCCAAATGGGGTCATGTGTACTTCTCTTCTCTCTGGACAGTCATAAATCCTTATTATTTACAGTAAGCCATCTCCTCAGTACCATACACACTGCTGGTCGATCCTCTTCCATGGCCCAGTTTGAGCTCTGGCTCTGAGTCTTCTGGAGCCCATGTGAGAGCTTCTTCACAGCTTTACCTCGACTTCATTTAGACTTTGCTTTGTGCCTGTAATCTCCGCTTCACCTCTCCAGGCCTCCCGCACGGCTCTCCTCTCATGATTACTATAGTAGTGTATGGGTCCTGTCCTGCCCCCTGCACACACACATTCACACACACTCACACACACAAGGGCTGAGCGCCTGCAGGGGAAATGATAGCCTCTCAGTGTGAAGACCAGATACTGTCTGTGCTCAGGGAGGAAATTACAGTGCTCTATATGTGACAAACGCAGGAGCATCGCCTATTTCTCTGGTTGCGGACTCGGAGATGGTAGAGTTGTCTACTAAATGTGTATTCTTTTTCTTCCAAATAATAAGGACCTAATGATAATAATGTTTAGTACAAAAGTACTGTTGTCGAAACATTATGCACCATGTCATATATACTGTACACTCTCTGTCGCTGCCGTAGTTTTAATCATGGTTTTGTTTTGAAGTTCAGTGCTTTCATACTCTTATTGTTCTTTTATTAATTCACTCATATCCCCCCTGGTTGTTATTGAGCAGATGGACACACGGATAACACACCATCACCAAGACAGTGTTTAAAGGGCCCATATTACGCATTTTAAGCTTTGGAGATGTGGACAGGCTAATAAACCAGGTTTACTCAAACATGTGTGAATGAAACCAAACAAATCCTGGTCTGTTTTTAATTAGGTAACAGCATTATACTATGGCAAGAAGCTCACACGTGTCAATTTTGTGTAATATTGGACCTTTCAGTATGATAGTTGTTTTTACTGAAACAATTCTAATAAATTTAATAGGCTTAATATTGCTCATTCCTCCCTTGTACTGTTCTTAGAGTGTCCCCTCCCTCCTGTCAGAAGTGTCCCCTGTAGTCCTCTGTATCTGGAGCTAAACGCTTTCATTAAAGTGTGGAGCTCTGGGGACGAGACAAAGACTTAATGCCAGTGGCTCATTTAAACTGCACTCTGCTATTATCAGCCTCATATTTAACATGTCCAGGGATCCTGTGTGGAGATGAAGGACTACATCCTGGTTCTTCTGATTGGAAACAGTTTGAAAATATTCTACCCTTTTTAAGTTTCTTTCATTATATTTAAAAATACTGAACAAAGCAATTTTGGTTGAAAACTATTGCAGCTGCCCAATACCATAACTATATTATATCTAGAGCTCTAAATCAACTACACCAGTGACTATTACTATTACTACCACCCCTAGGCTAGAATAACCCCCATTGGACCACACAGCAAATACAGACAAATACTGTAACAGAATCCCCACTGTAATACCACCAAAGATCACCCATTGTCCAAAATGAAAATAACCCATAACATGCAATTTCGTCTTTATAAAGCTCATATAGTATTTTGGCCCCTTGGGTGCACCTGGCTCATATTCATGTCACACGCTCCTCTCTAAAAACCTCTGAGGTCTTCAATCATCATTTCCATTTGAAAAGCCAATCTCGGGCCTTGTCTCGCTTCAGTGTACATAAGGAGCTCAGAAGACGGGCGACGCGACTGAGAAGAGGGACTATTATAATGCGAGGGCTCCAGCACATTCTCCAGGCCACACCCTCACTATTCAATGGGATTATTAAGAAGAAAGAGGAGAATAATGACCAGATATGATAGCAATACTTAATATGGTCATTTTTTTATTTATTTATTTTTTCAAAGGTAATAATGGGACTTGGTTGTACCCTATTTATTTTTATTGGTACAATATTAGTATTAGATTAGGCTATTTTTGCATTGTGTAACTTTTCTGGTGGAGGGTCCATCAAGTGCTTTTCTCCATGGAGATGTTATAGCTTTTTTCTGGAATTTATGGATTTATGACACTAAACCTTTCTTCCTAGCTATCCTCATGGAGACCAAACCAGACCAAGTTACAGGTCAGATCTATGGAGAGGCAAACCCACTCACAGTCAAAATGCTTGTTTTTCTAGGTATTTTTTAGCTACAAAACCATCTATAATTAAATGCAATGTAGAGCTGTTTAATGTCATACTGTGGAACATTCCAGGCAGAGGAATGATATATCCATAGAAACAAGCAGGTGACGGACCCCCAACCAAAAAGTTACACAGTGCACCTTTAAGTTATAGTCAGTTGTCAATCTCTAACTTAACTTATTTATGGTTGTCAAAAGCATTAGAAATCAGATACTAATCAATACTTAAACTAGTATCAAAACTAGATTTTAGCAAGTATCAATTCAGAAAAACTCATTCACAGGACATAAATTAACCTTTTCTGAATAGCTTTAGAATGATCTTGAGCTATATCAAGTATAAGACTGCACAGACCAGTATACGCCCGTGGACCATTATGGCACTTCGACAACTGAGGGATTACACATAATATATATAAGGCCACATGAGTTACTATCTTTGTGGTATCGGAATAAGTATTGAGTATCAAGTCTATTCCTCCTTAGTATCGAAATTGAGTTTGAAATTTTAATATTGTGACACTAAACCTATTGCAGACAGCATTGAGAATAATTTACAAAAATGCACTATGGTTTCAGTGTTAAAACTGACTTAGACACATCAACACTGGGTTCATAGGGGCACCTTCCCTGTCAGTAAAGGACACTACAGCACTTACAAAACGCTGTTATATGTGTTTGGAATTGAAAGCAACATGGATAAGATAAATGGCTACATACAAAATCTATCCCACGAGACGTCCGATTGAATTTGCAGGAAATAATAACTTTGCAAGGTCGAGGTATAAGTTAGCACAAACGGATGTGTTATGATAATGGAGCAATTCTTTTTTTCACAAATAAACAAGATGCCTTCATAGACCGGTTAAAATGCTAATGTTGACCGATTCCAAAAGGTATGATTATGAAGTGTGACCTCTAATATAACTCTACTCTGTGTGACAGCAGTCCTAGTAAAACAGATCACAAGAGAGTCCAAAAGTACTCACAATAGCAAATTTTCAAACTTGATTTCGATACTAAGGAGGAACAAACTTGATACTTGGTACAGATTCTGATAAATAAAACTCTTTACACACAACACACATTAAATTGTAGTTTGTTCTTAACATGATACAAATGATTCTTTTGCATTGTTTTCAGTATCATTCATGATTCAATGCGCGTAAATGGGTTTGGGTGCACATATTGGTATCTTCCCAAAGTTGACTCTCTAAAACCCATTATTAATGCCGGTGGAGCCATAGTTTGGCTCAGTCTATATACTGAATTATTCATGATATTTATTTTTGGACCAGTTTTATTTCGATTAGTACTACAAATAAAATATATAATATTTATGACGATATTGAAGGACCTTTTAACTCCATAGATGTGTTCCATGCCCAGATTGAGACAGGATTGAGGCAAAATAGACCCATATACTACTTGCCATTATAATATAACATAAAATACTCAATATATTAGAGCTGCATAATATACTGTATTGCAATCGGATTAGAATTCCAATTTGAGTTGGTACAGTTGTCAAATCTCAAAGGCTGCAATAAATGTTATTATACAACACATAATCCTGTCTTTATGGAAAAATCTTGTTGTTCCTGTAGTTTAGACCTCTACAAATATATTCTGAAATTCATACTATATTGTATTGTTTTATCAGTTTATATTTTAGTCTTCTTTCAGATGTTAATGCTGGGTGCACTCTGAACAAAAGGCTACATACAATACATATAATATGATTGCAGTTCTAATACTTATCACATAATTGCAATTATATGTTTTTTCCAAAATTGTGCTGCTTTACAATACATTTTTTTATGACTTGCATTGTTGATAATTAATAACAAAACTTATTCACAGCATTCTCCCTAAAACAGCCATATTCTGTATTGTATTTCTGTGTTGAAGGTCACTGAATGATAATGTAATTCTGTTGTGGTCTCTCCTCCGCAGGTCTGGCCCGGGCTAAATCAGTTCCCAGCCACACGTACTCCAACGAGGTGGTGACCCTGTGGTACCGGCCCCCCGACGTCCTGCTGGGCTCCACCGACTACTCCACCTGCCTGGACATGTGGTACGTACCCACCTCTGACCCACACCCACCCCATAACCTGTATTCTTATTCAGCTGGTGTCAGGCTTACATCTATATCTATGCCCTGTATCTGCAATTCAGTGAGACAAAATACATTCTCACATGAGGAAAATACATAAAATTGGTGAATAAAACAAAGGATAAAACCTGTCTTAAAACTCAGGTACATCGCCCCCACATGAATTCTTTCAACCATAAGTTTGCCTTCATTGAGATATCATTTCTGCATACTGCTCCACAGTATATAATTTAAATGACTGATCGCCTTGGAGACAAGGTGACATATCCAAGTCAGGTTGCAAGTCAGATCTCTGAAAAGGCGAACCTGCTCATAGTGAGAAAACATGTTTTTGAAGGTATTTTTGTGCAATAAAAACATAATGGAATCAAGAATAAAGACAGATGTGTTAAATGCCACACTGTTGAATATTGGAGGCTAAGTTATAACATCTCTGTGGGAACAAGCAGGTGACACAAAAGTTACGTAGTGGACCTTTAGCTAATAAATAAAGAAAGGCTAAGCATGTTCAGACCAGGACTAAACTAGGATAAACCTGGATAAACTAAAACTACTCTAGACCCTACAGGGTTGAAGCAACAGTTATCAAAATACACAGCAAGGATAAAATGTCTACATTCTGTAACACTTTTGCATCACCCTTGGCTGCAGTTCTGTTTAATTCTCTGTGTATATTACAAACTGGAACTTCTGACCCTGATCACCTCACAGCCAATTCACATTCTGTGTTTGTCTCACATCTATATCCAGCTATTGTCACACTTAAAGATAACATCATTGTCTCCCAAGGGGCCCTGTGCAGAAAGTACATTTTGGAGTTGACAAAAAGCAATTAAAAGTTATCGGCGAGTCTCTCACCTGCCGGGCCCGTTCCCCACAGCAGCCTGTAAATTGTTTCTTATAACAATCATACCATTCATCTGAGTTTGGCTTGTTATCTTTCATGTTTAATGAAGACAGGGAGGCAATAGGAAAATCTGAATGCATTCAATTTAACGCTGAATATATGAGGTTATATAATATATGTTCCACAGCATACAATTTCTACAGTGGACCTAATTCAATAGAAATGTCATTACATTAGGCTACACAGGTATGCTGTCAATATTTACTTCATTGATTTTGTGTGGTACTAAATATGCAAAATATATTGACTGCAATGTTAACCCTATTAAGAGGAAGCAAACATAATACTGCCCCACTCGCAGATAACATTTTTGTTACCATGTTTTTATTAATATTAACACTTTTGAATCTACCCACTCACAGTGGGTCAGATAATTATAATTTGCCAAAATTGTCCATGTTTGATTTAATTTTAATAATGTAGTTTAGATTAAAACCACTGCATTTATCCACATTAGTTAGACTTACACTTAACTCACACATCACAATATAATGTAAAAACAAAGAGCAAAAATATAATTGTTAATATAAATTCATTTGTTATTACTACTATACTATTACTACAAACACATTACTACTAATAGAAGCACTAAAACTACCAATCTCACTGCAAGTAAACAGGGAGTAGTAGAAGTAATAATAATAATAATGATAGTAATATTGGTAGCTGTGGTGTTAGTGAAACTAGCAGTGATAGGGCTTGTAGGAGTAGTACTTATGGGAGTTGTACTGATAGTAGTAGTATTAGTATTAGAAGTAGCAGTAGCAGTAATATTAATGGCACATCATGCTCAAGTTCCACTAATTCAGTAGTAACTGCACTCATAAAACAACTTAACCTGAATAGTTCTAATGACATTTAAATACAGCACATGATAATTACTCCCAAATGGGTCAGTTCAGATCACTATTTAAATCCTACTGTGTCAGCAGCACTAGTGACCTACTCCAGCTGGACCAGCGGCTGCGGAGGGACCTCCACAGTGCCCCAGCTGTGTTATCTATCTCCCAATTAAAGAGTAGACAGGCCACCATCCCGGGAGAGCAGCGGGATACTGGGCCTGCTCCAAGGGTATTTTCAGGTGGATCTATGGAGGAGCGGGAGGGAGTGAGGGGCTGTTGTATCCCTCCGTATGCCCCCCCAGTGACACCCGGCCCCTGGTCACTTTACGAGGCAGTTGCGCGTGACGGAGCAGCTCATGCGAGACGAGGGGTTTTGGTGGAGGTGGCTTCCTGTCCCGCGCAGCATCCATCAAATAGTACATAGGTTACAGGCCGCTGTCTCCGTGGCAATGGAGGGGGTGGGGTTAGTGATGGATTGGAGACACAGAAAGCTTCTATTTTTGTGTTTTGTGTACCTCTAAGTGGAAGCTGTCTTTTTTTTACAGGAATGTTTGTCTTTCCAAGTATTGTAAAAGAACTTGATTAAACATTAAAGGTACACTGTGAATTTTTTCTGGTAGAAAGTCCACTACCTACTTGTCTCCATGCAGATGTTATTGGCCTGGAATGTTCCATGGTATGAAATAAAAACAAATCCATCTAGCGTTTATTCATTTCTATTGCTCGAAAATACCTTAAAAATACCTAAAATTCCTCCTGTGAATAGGGGGTGCCACTCCACAGATCTGAATTGTAATGTAATATAGTGCTGTAACCTGCTTGTCTCCCTTGTGATAGATAAGTTTAATCTATATTGTGGAACATTTGAGACAAGCAAAAATATTTCCGTGGAGACAAGCAGGGCCACTAAAAATGTTACGCAGTGCACTTTAAGTATATTCAGGGATATAAATTACAGAATAGTCTGGTACCAATTATGTATGAAACATAAACAAAAATACAAAGTAGCTCAGGCAAAGACCAAACCAGCACTGGATCAAACTATGTGCAAGTTTAAAAAAAATTAAATAAAATAAAAAACCGACAAAACTATAATTTTTTGTCAGACACATGAGAAAAATGTCATTTGTCGCCATATTAGTTCTAATAAACCCCAAATTAAATGATTTGATTTTGAGCTTTCACTTCTTAGATTCATAACTTTATTTGGCCCTAACAAGTCCATGAAAAGCTGTGAGATACATAATGGTTGGCCTTTTGTGATATTAGTTGGCAAAAATGAAACTAAATTAAATTAATACATTAGACTAAACTTTGCATTTGAATATTTAACTCTATTCGTACAGGTATAATACACATCTTTTTTTGACTGTTGAATGGGATGACTACTTTTACAGTTACGCATTCTAGTCACACATCTCTTCTTTGTTGGACAGGGACTTTGATGGAAGACACCAAATCCCTCTATTTTTACCTTTTTTCCGCTGCTGGCGCTGCTCTAAACACCTGTCAATCACAGGTCCACTCCGCCGTGAACCAGATCATGCAGCGTCTCCTGGACAGGTGTCACACTGATAGAGGCATGTGAGATAGGCTCCCGTCACTGAGGCTGAGACATGCTTTCTGAAAGGACTGTACTATCAATACACTAGTGTACAATACATATATACTGTGTCTTGATATTGCTGCTTTCAAATTGATCGGGCGACAGTGAGCTGCAGGAGATAGTGGAATTATTTTCTACCAATTGAAAAATATTTGTGGCTCTGTAGCTACATATTGAGAATTTTGTGAACACCACTATATAATCACAGTCATGGAAATCCTGGAAGAGCCATGGAAATTGAAAATGTAATTTTCCAGGCCTGAAAAAGTCATTGCTTTTTGAAAATTCAATGAAAGTTTTAGAAAAGTCATGGAATTTTAGTATCTATTTACACTTTCAACTACAACATTCTGTTAAGTTATCATGAAGCTATTATGATAATTTCCAAACGTCTGCGTCTATGTCTTTTGTTTAAAAGAGACAACAATAAAAGCACTGACAGTATTTTGAATGTTAAAAATCTATAATCCCAAACCATAAGGTGAGTGGAAATGGTTAATATTTCATATTTAGCCCTAAAAATATACTGAAGTCTACACCTGTAGGGTGCCGTAAAGTCATGGAAAGTTCACTTTAGGTCATGAAAAAGTCATGGAAAAGTTTTTAAATTTTGTCCATGAAAAGAGTGGGGTCTCTGTATGAAGTAAATAGTTTCAGATTTTTGCAATATATTCCAACTCCAGAAACTGAAACCTAGATTTTTTTTTACTTTTGGGCACTTTGTAATTACAGCTACTATCATACTTTCAAAAGTATAAAAATCTCTGTCATATATTTCAAATTACTAAGACAAATATGGCATTGATTTTGCATGGAAAAGATCTGTATGTAGTTATAAGAATTCACTGCACTAGCACAGATTAATGATGGGCTATATGTGCTGTGGTTTAGGTAGTAACCACTCAGATCAGAGAGAGGCATTTTAGGTTTAAACCAACCAACCAACAGCATTCATCGTCATCATTTTAAGCAACTGCTAGAAGAAACTGATTCAAATAAAATAGTGTATAATATAATAGTAATATAATGTGAATGAGTGATGTGTTTGGAAGTGGAGATGGTAAAATGGCATTTCAAAGTCAGAGCCAGGTGTGACAGGTGTCCTCATTAGGCCTCATTATGGTGAAGCACAGGCACCTGTCGCTCTCTTCACATGCCTCAAGTCTACTCAAGACCACAATGTTACTATAGCTTCTTTTTATTCTCAAATTGCCACTATACTGTTTTCACAAATAATGTCTTCTCTTCATTCACATTTCCCCAACACTATCTTTGGCACTGTTTTTATTGTTTTATTTTATTTTTGTGTGACAGTGTCCAAAACAAGACGCCAGTGGATATTTCCAGACAGCTCCATGCTAATTGCGACATGCTAAATGAATTACTATTAGCATAATGTGCATTAGCTCTTGTTAGCTTTATGGAATTGATTCTAACAGACTCATTGAGGATGCTAATTGGTAAGCTAATCAAGTCTGCTAATTAGTGCATTTGTCACTATGTAAATAGGAAATGACTAGTATATCATAGCTACCGGCTGAATGAGCGTGTTCATTTGTACAGACATGATAGTTACTGAATTAACAGAGGAGAAAATATTATTTAC